GTTGGGGAACAAAAGATGTCATGACCAGCTCGACCCTTAAAAGGTCATGTTCCACAAGGCCCCAATCGGCTCCGGACTCCTACCAAAAAAGGTTGAGAGGCTACAAGGGGTGTACCACCTCGAAACCACCTTGTTCCAGCCCATTCGCACTCCATACGCACTGCGAAGGCCTGATGGTGAAGCGGCGCTTTTGTGGCGCACCTCGAGCGGTTTTAGATCGTGGGCCCGACTATATTGATCGATGCACTTGTGGCTTCGAATGCCATCAATATGCACGCAGTATCACACATGCAGTCATGCGAGCAATCTTTATAGAAGTTGAAAGCAAATGACCACATGAGATACTCGCTCGCATTCTGTATGCACTGTACATGCACTCGCTCGCTCGCTCTCTTTAGAAGCCGTGTCACTCGCATATGTCAATCATGGAAACGCTTCACGATACTTGTAAAAAGGAATCATGCGAATCCACAACGTGATGTCTGTTTGTTTTCATGGATTTTCTGTTTTGATTTCTTTGACTGTCTGGACTCGTCCCATGGCGTTGCCTCTTGATCTGGATGCTTTGGTCTTCCGACTGCAGAAGTTGGGCAGTCCCAAGGTTCCTCGGTTGAAGACATCACAACTTATAATTCGCAGCGCTGTCACACGAGTACACTGAAGGGTTTGGAATGCTTGGAAAGCTCTGCGATTAAGCAGTTGGGGAGAAATTCAACTCGTACGTTCATGCAAATGTTTGGTCATGGGTTCTGACAGATCTTCGTGATGGCCGTCATTTTGATCTACTTCACAGCAAATCTGCCGCAGTTTACCGAGGACAGTGGGATTCCAATGGGAATTTACGTGTGTATTCTGAACTCTGGTGCGCATACTCTATAACCATGGTATGGGTGACCTGTATAAAATAACATATGCTAAGGTCGATTACATTCCTCGATCACCCCGCTCACTGTGCTCGCGCATGTCGCAGGAACTGCAATTTGTGGAATTCTTCGCAGGAGTTGGGAACACTTGGAAGGCAGTGTCGCACCATTACCCAGGGGCACGTGTTGATTTGGAGTATGACCCTCAACATGCCAAGCCTGGCTGGAAGCAAAGCCCTATGGACATTCTTTCCTCGGCGGGGTTTACGAAGCTTGCATTCAACGAGTTGAAAGTCATCGCAACCAAGAAAAGCCCAATCCTTCATTACAAACCCTCTTTCCAAAGCACTTGTTTGATGTTGACATTCTTGGTAATTCACTGTGACCAGTCGTGAAATGCTCAAAGTCATCACTTGTAAGTCTGCCAGGGTTTGGGTTTGGTGTGATTCTCATTGAGACACTGATGGGGATTTGGGACATGGTGCTCATTGTTGGCAAGTTGGGGTGTAGGTTGGTGGCATTGCAGATTGAGTTTGAGATTAGTAGATTCCACCAGTGTAAGCCTACCCCAAACAAGCCCAAACCCAGGATATGCATTTGGCTGGTACTATCTTGTGCAGAGAAAGACTTCTTTGCCCTCCTGGCGATTGTGTGCACAGGGTGGGTCCCGGTGAACGCTGGCACACATAAACGCAGTGCTGCTAACCCCTGGGGCGATGAACGGTATTCATACGTGGCTGATGGGTCATCCATGTGTGCTCGGAACCTGAGCAGCAACATTAATGCCCAAAAAGGCTGAAAAGACACCAACATCTGTGCGCTTCTTCCTTCGACGGTGTGAGCCGGTAATCTGACAATAGAAAACAATATAGGACCATGGACCATGGGTTTATTGGTGAATCTATGGATGAAACCACCGTTGAAGAGGGAAGCCGGCCCACATGCCAAGCAGCTGAGGACCGTTCTTTTGGCTCTCCTGTGCTGTGCACGGGGAGGCTCTTTCATGATCGAGCAGCCGGGGGGAAGTGTCATGGAGCACTACCCAAAAATGCAGTGGTTGTACCAACAGCTGCCTGCCAACAGACTGCATTAAAACTATAAAGCAATAACAACACTTGAACTTGGAATAGTGAACCAGCATTTTCTCTTGAACACATTCTTCACGTGTGCCTCTGAGGTGTTCAAGACGAAGTGGTGGATGGCCCACTATGGGTCTAGCAGCCCCAAACGCCATAAGGGCTTTTCTAACAATGTTTGGTGTGAGAAGTACAACCTTGGCCGACTTCAGGTTCGTAAGTTCCTCAAAACCCAAGATCCCACGAAGAAAACAGCAGAGCACTATGTAGATCACAGTGGACGTAAACGTTGGAAAGGGACCGCTGCTTTGAAAAGCACTCAGAAACTCAGCCTTCATAGCGTTGTCTCTCTACCTTTTTTGAGTTGACCTCACAAACACTGGTCCACCCTTCCACTTGGCTGACTCTGCGCCCAGGATCTTTCCGCCAAGATTTGGAGCGCGGACAGTCCAGATGATGCCGAAGCTGAAGACTCGAGGCCTTGGAACACCAGTGATCCCTGAGGATCTTCGCCCAAATGGGCCAAGTATTTTTCAGCAAATGCCATGGGAACATCGTTTGGATTGGGGGGAAGCACGGCTGAAATCTTTGGTGTTGTATCTCAAAGGCAACACCAATCTGCGATTGCCAGAAAAATGGCGCAATGTATTCCCTACCCATCTTCCATGAGTTGCGAGAGACTCCTTGACCCCTGTATGACAAAGAAAGCCCTCAACCCATCAATGTTTATGTCAAAACATGGGATTCTTATTTGACAGCAGCCCTTTGGAAACATTTCACAAACAGGTATCGGTATACGGTTCTGATTCAATTGGAGAACTTGTCAAACTATATGTGGAACCCTGAACTCTTTTCCCCAATACTGTTGAAATCAAAAGGTTGTCGAGGCCCTAAAAACAAGTTTTGACAGTTTGCCTTGGCCCATGGCCACTCCTGAATCCCTTCTATTCCCTTCTCATCAAATTTTTGTGGTCACAGGTTCTCCTTGCAGGGTTCTTTTTGTGCGGGGAACCTTTCCTGTTTCTTTCTATGGGCTACTGAAGGCTCCAGAAAACATTTTTTGAGGAGAAAGGAGACAAATTCCACATGTCCAAAATTGAAAGTCGTTCAAACCCGTTCGAACCCGTAAAAAAGGCAATATTTTAGGCGTACCCGTACCCGTGTGAACCCGTTCGAACCCGTACCCGTTCAAAAGGCGTTCAAAAGGCGTTCAAAAAGCGTTCGAAAGGCGTTCGGCAGGCGTTCGGCAGGCGTAAAAATGTTGCCTTTTGTTTCTCTTTGTTTGGGAGGCTCCAGGGGCTTCCTTCTGCCCTAGATTTGGAGGGGGACTCGCAACTCTGGGGGAGGATCTTTAATTTGGATTAATTTGGAAGCAATTTTGTAGGGCCTGGAAGGCCTGTTTGCGAGAGATATCATACCAGAGTGGGGAAAAATATCTCCATCTTGACTTTTGCTGGCAAGTGTTCATGATGTGAACGTCTTCAGTTCAATGGATTGAGAATTTTTGTTGGAAATATGTCCACCGGAGCTTCCCTCAAGCACTGGCAACAGACCCGCGCTGTTCTCACCAAGAGTCGAGGGTCGGTCATGTCTGATCGTGGCACCTCACTTCGATCCAACCAGTGGAGCTGTAGTGAGTTGATGAAGGGGGCTGAGATTTGTGCAGACCTAGCTGGGTTAGCTTTGAAAGTTGACCCATCGAAGCTATCTCGTGAGCAACTCCTCCAATCTATTCAGGAGTTGTTTTGTGACATTTGCATGAACCTCTATAAACAATCACACACTCTCTGCATTAAATGAATTGTGCGCTAGGAGGCCAAAGCTTTGATGAAAAATCCACAGAAGGTGACTAAAGCTGCAATCGTTACACTTATCCCAATTGTTAATGGACATCATCGCTTTCTGTGGCCACTGGTCTGGCTTGTGAGGCTTTGGATTCTCACTTGTTGAAGCCGAAGGTTGAGCTGGTCAAAGCTGAGCCCTCCGACATTTGCACTTCAGAGACTCTACCAGCCGCATCTTGATTATGAGAAAAACGGACACTGAAAACATCCCCTGGAGTCAATGGAGTCACCCAATGACCTGTTCTTTTGGAAGAATGGCCTTTGGGGGCTTCTTGTTGTTTAGCCAAGGGACAGGAAGAAATCGCGGCCGCTCTTGGCGCTGCGACTGCCCTGCCAGTAGAGCCACCTCTTGAACCGCTTGTGCAATCCTTAGATGCACCATTCATGGAGCTCGTCGGAAGGAACCGCTCAAAGTGTGACACATGCCATGATCTATTTCGCAGTTGATAATATACATTTCGATCAAAACATTCGGAACTTGCGATTTGGTTGATGGTTTCTTGTCTTAGGTGGTCTCTTCTTTGGAGAAACCTTCAGGGTCTACCTCTGCTGAAGAGACTATGACTGTGGAGGACGAGCACACCAAGCGATCCAGAGAACAAGCTACTCCTCTTGAGAAGGTGTCGCCAGAGAAGAAAGCTACCAAGACTCATGACAATGCTACAGCTTCGATTCCTCTCACAGTCCGCCGAGAATTGTTTTCTCCTTCTACTGCACAAGATCCTATGCCTTCTGTCGCAGCGGTGCCATCTCAAAGCACTGAGGCAAGTGAAACCTTGGCGGACACAGCCCCTGTGGCAAAGGAGATGCCCTCGCAGATTGAGACTCCACTGGCTGCTGTTCCACCGGCTGCTGTTCCACCTGCTGCTGTTCCACCGGCTGATGTTCCCAATGGTGTTCCACCTGCCGTCAAACAGAATGTTCCTGCAGAAACAGCAGAGCAGCTTCTTTTGCGCACTGCTTTGGACAAGATTGCGCAGCTGGAAGCTGCACTTGCAAAGGAGAAGGGTGAGCGAACCGCAGCTCTCAGCTCCATGGTCACTCCACCGACCAAAATTCGGGTGTCTGGCACTCCAAGCACAACCCCTGGTGTGTCAACAGACTCCCAAGCGGAAGAGGGTGAGGGTGATGATGATGAGGAGGAAATTGACGAGAAGAAGGGTGACTTGCTTGAGTTCCCCAACGGTGCGAAAGTGATGACACACGATGCGCTACGAATGAGGCTGAGACGCCTTTGTGAAAAGAAGCAGAAGTCAGGCAAGTGCCATGTGGATGCTTCCACAGCTGATCAGTATCACCGTGGCGGGGAAGAACGTGAGTGGCTGGAGATAGCGTTGATTGAAGCGATCTGCAAGGTTGGCACCGTTTCCAAGAGCCACAAGAAGCTCCGAGTTTCTTGTCACAACTTGATCGCAACACATTCACAAGCAACCTTTGTGCTTGTTTTAGCTGAGCGAAAGTAAGGCTGAATTCCGAGCCAGGGTTGTCATGGTCCGAGAGAGAATGGACTCCAAAGAGCAGGAAGTTTTGGGTCAGTGGTTCACGGAAGAACGAATGGAGAAGAGTGGCGACTTCTCGAAGCATCTTGGCTTGCGCTTGGATCCTTGCTCAACGGTGGCATGTGATGCGGTTTGGCAATTTTACACTCAGTCTTGCGAGCTCTTTAGTTTTGTTGGCCATTTGAAGCGCTTGGCTCACTGAGCCAAGGGACACAATCCGAACCATAATCAACTATTGCGAGCGATTCCCTGCTGCCCTCGTTCGGCAGAGCTGTCATGTGTTACTTTCAGGGGGTCAGTACAAAAAAGGCATGCTTTGATGTTGTTCTCAAGCATCAAGCTCCTGAAAGCCTTGTTTCTTGCTTATCCGTGCCAGTGCCTGGAAGTATGACTCCAGTGTCAAAGAGTACTTTGTGGAGACTTCCACCAAGCAAACCATTCGCCAATCGGAGATACTGCGGAGGCAAGAGGTTCATGAAGGTGACGTGCCATGGCTGCAAGCCAGGCAGCATAGTCAAGTTACAGGGTAGCAGCACTCTTGCAAGCCTTGGAACCATCGAATAACCTGAGTTTACACCTGTCAAACTGTACTGTCACTGACAATCCCCTTTCATTTGGATGGTTGAATTTTGTCAGGAGCAGGAGGTGGCTACTCCTTTCGGGGCGATGGCCGCTTTGAAAGAAACCACCGAGGAGGGTGTGGCACCGCAGCCTGAGCAGTTGGGCACCAAGGTTCCTGGGATCCCTTGTTGATTTGAGCCTTTGATGAGCACATGTGCGCATGCACTGGCATGAGCATTTCCACTCAAAAATTGACTGCATGTGTGAAAGGAGCTGTCTCTCGCGATCGTTTATACCTATATGCACTGTCATGCATCCATATGCGCACACTATATTATAGTTCTCATCGACCTTGTTCTCAATCTATGCAGGTGCTTCCTGATTTGGTTCGCTTCATGGACAATTCTGACTCGAAGATCATGGCAGCCCACAACATCAACGGGAAGCTTCAGGTGGAGACAGGGGTGGCCGGCAATCCTGCAGTTCAGGAGTCATAGCCCTATTTATTGTTGTGGGTGATCCCATCCATACTGGCATGAATCCCTACACATCTTTTCATGTTTTGAGGTTAATGAAGGACATCGAGCAGGTTTCTACACAGCTGAACCAGGTGTTCAAGGCATCTGCAGAGGTCAAGGCAGAGTGCAGCCTTGATACTGCAGTTGAAGCATCCGAAGAGTTGCCCGGGCAAAGAATTTAATCAACACATTTGTTGGAAGATTGTCACTCTGGAAGTTTTCTCTTGTTTGCTCAGCTGGGATCTATGAAGGATTAATGTTTACAGTGGCTCAACCTGTCAACCCATCAAGAACTGTGGTCATGTGATACGTTCAATGGACTGACTGGGGAAATGCAACATAAACAAACTCAAACAAAAACATGACTGCAATACATGTGCATGGACATCTCTGACCTTACTCAGAACTTGCTTTGCATGTCTACCGAACCAACGCCGCTATCACCTCCGCCATGGGTGGCACGTCCCAACATGATGAAGACACTGATTGGATTCGGGAGTTGATTCAATGCAACCACAATGCCTTTTGGCTGCACTCTTCACCTTCCATGATTTTCCCCACCGCTTGTTCCCTATGTCACCAGAGCTGCGAAGATCCTCGGGAAGTCCACGTCTCAGGCACCATCTCTGCTCCAGTGCCAGCCGCTACAACGTCCTGAGGTGGGATGGGGCATGAACTCTTTTAGCATTTCATTGGCAATCTAACTTGAGAGTTGATAGCCCGCATATCCCTGCATCCATTTGTTTTGTGTTCATCGCCTGGTTTGCCAGGATACTTTGGCATCGTCATGGAGTGCTGAGCTCGATCATGCAGTTCTACATTTGGAGAGGACCCAGGTCTGCTTCCAGAAAATTTATGCTGATCAAATGTTGATCTGCCAGCTTCCTAGGAAGGGATCTTCATCAGGGCATGTCCTCAAGCATGGTTTCAAAGTCATAGACAAACTTCTTGCTGACAAAGGCCCCTGTGTCTTTAAGATTGGTTGGACGCACTGCCCATCCTCTCGCTTTAGAAACCCCAAATTTGGCTATGTCCATGAGACACAGAAGTGGGAGCGCATGATCCTCCTTCATGTCTCTAGTGAAGCAGTTGGACCAGCATTTCTGGAAGCAGCGTTGATCCACAAGTACAAAGGAATCTCGAATGTATCTAAAAGCATTTCTACTTCGATCATAGTGTTTAATTTTGTTTTGATTATTTTATCAGTTGAGCTGTGCCCACGCCGTATGCATTGCATTCAAGGAGTTCAGGGCTGCCGGAATGAACGAGATGGTGGGGAAACAGTGAGCGCAAATGGTGGTGGACCGTTTTTTACATACGTTGTCTACCAAAGTTTTAAACGGCCCTCCGATGCCCATCTAATTCGATCGTCAATTCGCTGAGATGACTTTTGTCAACATGCCCAGGGATGCAAATCTGAACAAAAAAATGACCATGTGATGTGGATTCCTTCATGTCCCATTCACATGTGAGATGCATTTGTCGCATGTATAGGGTTGCCCTAAACAGGTACAAGTGTGGTATCCTGAGCCACCCAAGGTTGAAACGTAAAGTGGAGAAGATCAAGCTCGATGCCAGGAAACCGTGACCTGACCAAACCAACTTTTCACAAGTTTGGTACGAGCTCATTGTTCGAAATGTCACGGATGCCCCAGGTGTGCTGCACTCATTGCGATTGAATCCCGACACAAGCTCCTCAACACAAATGGCAGCAACATAAAACATTTTTAAAAAAACACTTGCAAAAGCTAAGGGTGATCCTGGCGGACATCAAGAAGGGTTCTGTCAAGCGTTCTGCTGAACAAGGCAACGGCGATGGGCCAGGACCAAAGCCGAAAGCGAAGGTCAAGGCGAAATCGAAGAGCAAGGGGAAGTGAGAGCCATATGGGCGCCTAGACAATTACCAGGGTGCTGGGGAGGATGGTCTATACCTAGGGGTCGAATTCTTAAACTGGTAGTCGCAACGATCTCCAATGGTCAACTGTGGTATTGTCGCTCTTTTGTGGTAGGTGTGTTGAAGCTTCTGCAAATGACTCGATGTTGAACTTAGGATTTGAAGATTTGATGGATCATGCTTTTCCTCAATCGCGATGACAGATTGAGAGTGGGAATGTTTAGATGCGCCTAGCTTGGCTTTCAAGAATGATGGCCCATGGAAGAGTTCTATTGTCAAATCTCTTCTCAACTATGGACGTTGCCATAAAACTCGATCGTTGCTTGGTACAATGTGAGACCATGGGCATTGTGACAATGCCAATAGCGTGTCACGGCTTTTGATCCGCAAATCGTGTTAGAACCTGTTGGTACTACCAACGGGCCGTTTTGGGAGCACACTGAAATGGTGGGCTCAAGTCAATCAACCGATCATGAAAGACATATCTGGGCTGGTCCAAACAATGCCATTCCCTGCATTTTGCTGCTCGCTCTGCCCGTTTTTTTCCACTAGTGCGGACAAGGCTCCAATCTGCATGCCAGGTCCCTCCACCAGCGCAGAAGATCTTGCTTGGAGCTATGCACGTGGCGCCGCTCGGATCCATGGTGTCCATGTTCATGGCCCGACTATGGAAGCATGTGTGTGAAGCTGTTCCCTGGGTCATGTGTCTGGGCCAATTGGTTTCACTAAGGCCCCATGCACCGACATCCTCGAGAGGGCCAAGTCCATCATAGACTATGACCAGCGTGAAGAGAAACAGTTCTTGGGTGGAGGCATGGTTGCTCCTACCTGCCCTGTTCTGCGAGACCTTTATGGGGTAAACCCAAGCAAATCAGAACCTGCGCTGCATTTGTGTGCAGTTTTGAAATGTTCACCATTAAACCCTGTTGTTATCTTGTATTGGTGGGGGTCCCATCCCAAACAAGATTAACACATAATCCAAATCCAGAAAAAACACAGCTGGCCAGGAAGAAAAAGTGGCGCGTGTTTTTGCTCGACACGGATTGCGACTGGATGTTCCTATCTCCACTTGCCGTGTGGGGGCTAACTGCCATTTCCCATACATCAAAGTGGAATCATGGATTCAGACTCTTGATCGGCTTGGGAAGCTTCACAAATTGGTTGGGCTTAGAACGGATCATCAACCCTTTAGTGAGATTGAAGGGTCTTTGCTGGAGTTTTGGAACCGATTCAGATTGATGCATGGCCAGCATCAAGTGTTTGCAGAGGCCTCAAGGGGCTCCATACAGTTGAACCGGGCTTTTCCTGTCTACATGCATGGCGACGAGGGAACCACCTACAAGAAAGATGGTTGTTTGTGCCTTTCGTTTCATAGCCCACTGGGGCGGGGCACTTCGTTGAACAAGATGGGCCCTGTTGAAGATGGTCTGCAAGGCGAGCAACATGTCAACTTTGTTGGCCACGCCTTTGAGACACGGTTCCTACTTGGGGCTATGCTCAAAGCACTCTAGCTGAACTATGGTCCACTGTTTTATATTTGTTCTTTGGCGGGCTTCGGCCTCGAATGTCTTTCATGTTCTTTCCATTTCACCCTTGGGCAACAGACCTGAGAATTAAGGAGGACTATCGAGATGATTCGACGGTGATGGATGAGCTGATAACAGTAGTCGTGCAATCCCTGGACAAGGCTTCTCGTGAAGGTGTTTTGCTCACCTCTGGTGAGAGAGTCTACCCGATCCCGATTGGAAACAAGGGTGATTGGCCATACCTGGATTTTTGACTAGAACTGACCTTTTTTGGTTTTGGGGTTGGCTGTGTGCATGTTTTTTCTTTCCCCTTGATGGGTGATATGATTTGAGTGTATTATCTGGGGTCCAAGAGTAGTGCCTCAGCACATATGACAACCCGTGCCCAGAAAGTGGCTGAGGCCACGAGTGCTCATCTTCTACGTTCCTATCGGAATGTCCCGAAGGCGGCATCCAGTGCTCGCGACTGCACAGGGATATGTCACATTTGTGCAGCAGGGCAGCCAAACTATGACTATGAAGATGTGCCCCCAGGTCCTGTCTAGAAATGTGTTTTCTTAGCATTCCTTTGTGAAAGTGTGTTGGAAGTGCAATGGGGTTTTGCCTTATTGGCTCATGCCTAGGTCTGAAGCCCCAGCTTTCTTACAAACAATGGAATCACAGATTCCATGGGAGGATGAGGCTGCGTTTACTCGATTGCTGATGCATGAGGAGAATAGGAAGGCATCCTTTCACAAAATCGATGTCTTTCATACTGTGAGCCTAGGAATAGGCAAAAGCTTTGCAGCTTCGAGCCTCACTCTCTTGCAATCTTTGTGTGATGGTACTTCCATTGAAACGCGTTTCCGGTCTCTCTCCGAGATGTTCATCGAATATTGCAAAGATGCTTGTTGGTCGTTTAGTCAACCCTGTTGAAGACAATACCATAATGTTTCCCTGCTAAGCCTGAAACATATAATAATAGTTGGAGCAAAGTGAAATTCAATTGAATTTAGGATTTGAACGGTTGTGCTAGAAAAAAGGTTCATATG